CGGCAGGAGGGAGGACAGTGGTGACGACGATACACCAGCCATCAAGCAGGCTGTATCATATGTTTGATAAGGTGGTGCTTCTGTCGGAGGGATGTCCAATATATCATGGCAAAGCATCGGATGCACAAGGATACTTTGAGTCCATCGGTTTCTCATCGCCGGTCACTGTGAACCCTGCTGATCTTCTCCTAGATCTCGCCAACGGTAAGATTATGTTCCTCAGGTATTGTTATTTATGAATTAAAACTGAGGATGATATAGATAAAGGGTACAATGTCTCAATTGCGCCTGCAATGATAATAAGACAATTGCATTAATGCTCATAATCGTGCCATATCCACCACCAGTAGTCTTCCAGTTCAAGAATTAGACACACACATTATCTTGGATTCTTGGCAATATCACGTTTAAAGTTCGATTGAGCTTTCAACTTCAACGGTGAATTGAGGTCCCATGCTGTGTATGTTTTGGTCAGTAAATGATTGTGGGTTCCATCATCCAGTTAGTGAGAATCGCTTTCTGTTAACAATTAACGTGAAAAAGGGGCCAATATGGTCGTTGTTAGGCATTTTTGTGGGCCAAAAATTTTAACTCCTAAAAAAGCAGTCACAAACTTTCTTTTTACCACGCTTCATGACCCATATCATAGTGAAAGTGTACTAAAGAGCAACAGTAAAAAACCGTGGCTAATTTTCTTATTCTTGATACACCAATTGCCAGGAATTGCTCCAAACTCAAAGCACGCTATCGAAGATGGAAAGGGCATCGCTGAGGAGCAGAAGGCAGTGAGAGAGGAGCTCATATCAGCATATGACAAGAACATTGCCACCAGATTAAAGGCAGAGCTCTGCACCGTTTCCATGGACCCTAACAGCAACAACTACAACTACAGTCGAGATGCAGGTACGTGCTTTGGTGCTATATCTACTCTCCGGGTCATAAAATTTGCTGACTAACCAGCAAAATTTCCTGCAGCAAGAGGTAGAAGAGAGCAATGGAACAGTAGCTGGTGCGAGCAATTCTCCGTACTTTTAAGAAGAGGGATGAAAGAGAGACGACACGAGGCCTTCAACAAGCTTAGGATCTTCCAAGTTCTAAGTGTTGCAACCCTCGGAGGCCTCTTATGGTGGCATACACCGTCGTCTCATCTTCAGGACAGAGTAAGCCCCGGCAACCGAAAAACTTACAGCTTCCCTAAGACAACATACTCATCGACTGACTGACGCTAATCATTTCGTTGCAGACCGCTTTGCTTTTCTTCTTCTCTGTATTCTGGGGATTCTACCCCTTGTACAATGCAGTATTCACTTTCCCTCAAGAAAGAGCGATGCTGACCAAGGAGCGCTCCTCTGGCATGTACCGCCTCTCAACCTACTTTTTAGCCCGAACTGCTGCTGATCTCCCGATGGAATTAGCCCTACCCACCGCTTTTGTCTTCATAATCTACTGGATGGGTGGTCTCGACCCTCATCCCTCCACTTTTCTCCTCTCTCTCCTCGTCGTCCTCTACAGTGTTCTCGTTGCTCAGAGCCTTGGCCTTGCCATTGGAGCCATCCTCATGGATGACCTCAAGCAAGCTACGACTCTTGCTTCGGTTACTACCCTCGTCTTTCTTATAGCTGGAGGATATTACGTACAGCAGATTCCCCCGTTCATCGTGTGGTTAAAGTACTTGAGTTACAGCTTCTACTGCTACAAGCTGCTGCTTGGAGTTCACTTCCACTCTGACGACTACTACGAGTGCTCACCTGGGAAATTTTGCCCTGTGATCGATTTTCCAGCGATTAAGTCCGTTGGGCTCGAGAATTTGTGGGTGGACATCTGCATTATGGGATTAATGCTTGTTGGGTATCGACTAGTTGCTTATATGGCGCTGCATCGGCTACAACCAAGGTAGAGAAAACAGCAGAGGGCAGAAGTTTATCCTCAGTTTCAGAAGGACTTTGCTCCTCTGGGATGATTCGAGGAGACGATGAGATAGAAGATAGAGATGAGAAATCACAGAATCAACCTTCTTTTTTCCCCACCTAGAGAACACCTGGTATGATCCAATGTAAAGAAGAGCCAAGTACGAAAAAAAGCTGAGCATCGGAAAGCATTATAGTAGAAAATTAGCAGTCCGTGCTACAGCGTATCAGTTCTTGTAGTCATTTTGTTAATGAGTTCTCAGCGGAATTCAAGAACTACAAGCTGAGCTGCAGACGTATCCGAAGTCAATGAAGGTTGAAAGTTTACTGATTAAACTCATGTATACGTTTTTTAAAAGCAGACCGAGGTGATTAAACTTGAAAGTTGTTTTAACTACATTTTGACCGTTTAATACTTTACATTAAGACTTTCTATCAATCACCAATTATTCTTAAACCACTTAGCAAGTGAGAATATGCCCATCTTAATACAGGAAGTCAAAGTGAATATGGTTGATTGGACACACACGCACATATGCGATAGAGTTGCATTTGAGAAAGCGACCTCCGAACATAAACAAGATGTAGACTGTACGACATGGAATCATGAATATCAACAAATATCCGTAGAATATATACTTATGCCACTAAAAAAACACTATAATGAGCATTTTTCATAAAATCTTGCGAATCAAATAAGCATTCCATGAATTTATACCATTTTTTTTTCGTTATTTTGGTCAATGAAGAATAACTTTTTCAACCCACATTTTCCATACATATTGGGGACTGGGTTACCATATAAAAAAGGATTTATACCATTTACTGCCGAATATGATATTTTTCTGAACCATTATCAAATATGATATTACGAACTGGAATATTCTTCTGCTGTCTATAAAATATGACGGTAATTATTGTGTATGAGCCGACGAAGTCACAGTGAAAAATATTCATTCATTTTGAATAGCTCCCCCCCAATTCCTCACTTTTTTTGCTTGCTTGCTACCAGTCAGATCACTGAAACATTGCCTCAATAGATTTAGACACGCGAACCCCGTGTTGTCTTAACATCATTACCGTTGCCAAAATCATCTCACCGATATAGTGGATTTCAACCTTTGAGAAGATCAATATGCACTGCTCATAATATACAATACAAAATGATGGAAGACCACCAACAAATTGATGGGTGGTTGAAAGAATGAATGCATGCATCTCTTGCATATTTTATCATCACATCCCGTTAATAGAGATACTGCTGCAAATTCTTGGTTCTCTTCTTGTTTTTGAGTTTTCTGAAGGCACAAGACTCAATCTGCCGAATTCTCTCCCTGCTCACACCCATCAGCTCTCCGATCTCTTGCAGTGTTTTCATCCTTCCATCCTCAAGCCCAAATCTCCATCTCACAACCTGCTTCTCCCTCGGATTCAAGCTATCGAGCACTTTATTCAGATCCTGCTTCATTAGTTGCTTCACGAGTATTTCCTCTGTTGTTAGGGCATCAGGGTCTGATATCACTTCCTATAGTAAAATACGAGGAATTAGTATTGCAATCATAAACAAAACAACAACAACAACGCCTTTGTCCCAAATTGTCAGGGTTGGCGGCTACATGAATCCTACTCTTCCACTCACTCAGTTTTGATATGGACTGTCTCATCCATTAAGCTAATCATTAATCATATCATTCTTAATCAAGTTCCCTTAGGCACATCTCTTTTCCTTCTTTTCCTATTAAATTATAATCTTATCATTTTTCCAAGCTGGCGCATTTAACGGCTTTCATCGCACATGACCGAACCATTTCAAACAACTCTCTCTTGTTTTAAACTCAATAGAAGCAACCTCCAACTTCTTACTAATGCACTCATTTAAGGAAAAAAGAGTATAAGGTTGCAGAGCAAACCGAAGGCTTTAAGGTCTGATTGATTCCGATCTTCTGCTCTAGTGATCGAGGAGCTTTAGGAATTAGCATCACAGCAGTTAGCCTCTTCATTGTTAATCCAGTTGCTTCTGCAATTTCTTCGTCATCCGGGTGCCTTCCATTCTCACTGTAGAGTTGTTTCCTTGCTTCTCTTACTCGATAAGTTGCTTCAACCATGTGGAACTGTTGAACAAAGACATGAGATAAGATGTAAGTCAAGAGGAGAATGGAACAATGGTCAATATTATATTACTCTTAAAAGTTTCTACTTCAGAAAAGAACTGGATGAAACTCTCAGAAATGGGAAAGTATCTATTGACTTGAATATTAGCATAGATGTACATACATGAGTACGCCAAAATAGGGAACCTTGAAGCTCAATATTAGTCTAATTTAAGAAAACAGAAAACAAATAGAAAAGCTTCTCTACTTGGAGTATGGTTAATCAAATACCATGATACTCAAGAGAACTATCAGACAAATACAAGAATCTGAGCAATAACCTTCAAAACTATTTAAACAGGAAATTACAGTAAAGAAATCCATCTTTACCTTACAGTTAGTGAAAAGTTCACGAGAAGAATATTTGTAAAAACAGTAAATCATTGTAGTGGTTGTTGACAGCAATAGCCAGGGAATGATCAGCTGAATCATTTCAGCCAAGGAACTTATAATTACTGGATGCTATTTCGATGAGTTAAATAACATTTGCAACTTTAAGGTGTTTCCTAAAGTCCTTATCTCATTATTGAGTTTCAACTCGCCTGATCCATGTTCACGTAAGGTAACCAAAACTCACAATGATTTCACCATATCTGCATTTTGACTTAGATAAAAAAAACTTCTACAAATAATAAGATTTACTTAATTTTTCTTTCCTTAAAAAAGGATGACTTTCATCTTCCAGGTCCAAAGGCTAATAGAAGCTCAAGGGGAACCTGCATAGTAATCCTTGCCGGAATATTGGTGATATCTCTAGAGAAAGGCATATCAAGTAATTAACTGAAGCTTACAGGTAAACGGATTGTCCTAGATTGATCTGAAAGAGATTTGCGAACAGCTTGTTTTATCCACCAATGTGCATAGGTTGAAAACTTAAACCCTTTTGAAGCATCAAATTTTTCAGCACCCTTCACCAGACCTCGGCATCCTTCCTGCAAACAAGAATCCATTAGCATGATGGAGCAGGAGGGATTACAAGAAACATTGCATTTTTTTATTAGAACCCACTTGCAATACCTGGACAAGATCCTGCAGGTTCATCCCTGAACCTTGAAAGTTTTTGGCAATAGATATAACAAGGCGTATGTTGCTTTTGATCATCTTATCCTTGCAATATCTTCCATAATTTAAGCGCTTCCTCAAGGTCCTTGTATCAACTCTAGCTGCCATCGCCCATTGAGCGAAAGTTGGTGGATTACCGTATCGTTCTGTGAGTTCTGCTTGGAGACTTTCCAACTTTATTAAGTCCTGCCTCACGTCCATGTATCAATACCAAGAATGAAAAACATTTCAGTTTATAAACATGAACACTTAACCTTCTTTTCTTTCTGCAATTCCTCAAGGAGAAAAGTCAATGAATTTCTAATCTGTGAAAGATCCTACCTGAATTCCTTCTGACAACTCTAACTCTTCGTCAGCAGTAAGAAGCTTCGAATTGCTTGTTGTTCCTCTCAAATATCGCAAAGGATCCGAATAATCAATCTCTTGTGCAGCAGAGCGTTTTTTCTTTCCCGATGTTCCTGACTTCACAGAGATGACATTGTTAGCAGCCTTCTCTGCTGCCTTTGCTCTCCTAGCTCGCCTCTCACTTTGACGCATGGATCTTACAGTTATATTTTCAGACTCCTGCATCCGTTGGAGATCAGGTTCATTTAGCATCAAACTGGAAATTCCCTCATCTTTAGATTGGTTGGGAGTATTATGCCCTTCTTCTTGATTGTTTGTTGTGTCAAGCAGTTCCAGTTCGGTAAGTGTGGGCCTCTTTAACTGACGAATATCAGCTTGAGATGGAAAGTTTTCTGCTTTCTCCAATTTGACAGGTAAGTCCTTTCTAATCATCTGAGCTGCATCTTTTGCAAGTTCGACTGCAGCCCTAGCAAGGGCAACTGCCTCAGCAGCTGCTGCAGCTATTGTGGCCTCTTCCCTTGTGAGAAGTGTTTCTGCATGCCATGTTGTTTTGTAATCTGTCTGGACAAGTAGACAGGGAACAATAAACAAACATGCAAATTCCACAAAAGGATAAAGTTGCTCGTCTGTTCCATTCTATGTAAATGATTCCCACTTTAAGTCAGTGAAAGTTATCACCATTCTTGGATAATTTGCGGGACCAAAATGATGTGTTTCCCGATTAAATCTTAATTTGTTTCATATATCTCATTAAACAAATATAAGTTCCTAATTTTCTCTAAACTGTTGTCCTAGCAATCTAATCCAGCTATTTATCCCTTCCTCCAAAGACAAGCAATTTGCATTCACCCACCTTTAATCATAAAGGATACCTATCAATCTGACATAAACCAACTCTCACCTTGGAAGGTGGACCAATGGCTCCTACATAACTCAAGGGTCTTGTAACAGCTGAAGAATTTGTATGAGCATCTAGAGTAGGAACATATGTCTTATCCAGCTCAATAACAGCTGTCATCAGGGACGAAACACACTGATTACGAACATAAACTGGTCCTCTAGGCTTCACTGCAAAATAAGGAAGCAGAGAAAATGACGATTATAATGTGCTCTAACAAACTCAGACTACAGGTTGGACCAATAAGAAAACAGCCAAAATAAAGTGGGAAAACAGTAAGCAATACTAACATCTGCAGATTTTGGGATATAGAGCAATGGAAAATTGATTTAAGAAGCCCCCCCTGTACATTATAAAAGCTAAGTTTCATGAGACTAACGCGTTCATCACACGAAGTACATGCTAAAATACTATAGATGAGAGCATGCTTATATTGCATGCCATAGATAGGTAGGGAGCCATTCCTCGCATGTGGGTGGTTGGTGTGCGTCTGTTTTGGGGGGAGGTGTGGGATGGGTTGGGGTTTGGAAGGTCTCAGGTTTAAGAATGAGTATGGCCTCTGCACAAAAGAAAAAAAAATGCCAAACAGGTCACCTAAAGCGAATACACATTACTCATAGTTTCCATTGTAAAGGAAATTCACAAATGAAGTTGTAGTTATAGATTTAGACATCTAACAGTCTCGGCATGTATGTATATCATCTAATAGACACATTAACAGTTTCTTCTTTTTTGCTTTTCATTTTCATGCCTCGAGAAAACAGCCTGTTGACGTTTGGGGCTAAGTTTGACCCTCCCTAGACCCAACAATGACAGGGTCCTCGTGTACTGGCCGTCTATTTTATTTTTCATGCATATGGGCATGCTTGTGTCACTATCATGGCTTGGAGACAATCAGAAGATTATGACTTAAGAGATATTCATCCATAATCTGACACACATGTAGTTAAGCGCAATTTGTTTTTCAATATAGCACCATTGCCAATTGTGCAAATCAACGGCTCCTCTTGTACTAGATTGACCTACTATCGTGGCGCTGTCATCAGTAGAGTAAAACAAACCAGTATTATGAGTCTCTTCATCCAGCTCATGTTCTTGTTGGTTGGTGAATAACCCCCACCGCTTGGCGAGTTCGGCTTCACAATGACGGAAGAGACGGCATCAAGGATCACCACGTGCGCTTAAGAACCATTCTTTTCAAGAGCTGGCACCACCATTACACTAGCGATCGCAGGTGAGCACGAAGGTGCATTATCACAAACATGTAGTGCTCATTAAGCACGTGGCCCGCCCGATGAATCTAAACGGGCCCTCTATATAACAGTCAATGGATGCATTGCAGTGCAAAGACCCCCCTAACCCGTTCCAAAATTAGAAAATAAAACGCCAGTTTGCCCAATTCAATGCATCCCCCCTCAAATTCCCGACACCTGGGGGCTCCCCGAAACCGCAAACTAACACAGAACAGATGGTGGGTAATAGCGGTTTCCGTAAGTGCAGAGGAGATGATACCTTGAAGGGGATGATGATGATGATGATGATGGGATGATGGGCACTTGAATTGAGGAACCAAGCATGCCATCTGCTTCCTTTATCTTGAATTACTTGCTTCCTCCTCCTTTGGAATTAGGTTATCTCTCTCTCTCTCTCTCTCTCTCTCTAGCTCATTGCCTCTGCAAAATTTGCAGTGGGAGGGGGGGGAGAGAGAAGATCGAGCTTTGGGAAATGGATAAGAGACAGCGCGAGAGAGAGAGAGAGAGAGAGTAGAGCTCTCGCTGACTCGTTCATCAGTCTCTGTTTTTGGTCGGTGCTCAGCTAACATACCGTTCTCGACCCGATATACAACTCAAATTGTACACGTACAAACTTTTTGGGGTCTAAATTATCCGACCCGATCCGAATCCAACCCGTCTCCTCCGAAGTTTCTCTCTTTATTCAGTCTTCCCAAAACCTAACCCTGCCCAGTTCTCTCAAATCTCCGACCAAAAAATGGACGAAGGCGAGGGCGGCGGCGGCGGTCTCCGACTAGGAAAGAAGAACTCCGACAAGGGCGTCGCCGGATCCGGCGAGGTCGATTACAGGACGAAGTCGGGTACAGCGTGGAGCCACTCGTTTCTGAACCAGAAGCCATGGCATCCTCTCTCTTACCCTAACCAGCGTCGCAAGTGGATCGCCGAGCAGACTCACGCGAACCGAGAGCGCCGTGCTGAGGAAGTCGCCCGCGAGGTTAGTTTCGATCTCGATCTCGAAACCCTAATTATCGCCAGTTGGCTTCGATCAAGAAACGGTAAACAACAGTAATTAGGTCCGTTTTCTAAGATTTTGATGTCAAAACGCTAATAGTCGATCCGTGGAAAACTGCAGTAGCTTCTATTGCAAGAATTGATTTTCTTTGGTATGGACGCTTGCGTATCGATATTCAGAATCTTAGAATAATATGTCCATAATTTAAGCTTTGTATCCAGGAATGCAAAAGGTGATATCGATATTCAGAATCTTAGAATAATATGTCCATAATTTAAGCTTTGTATCCAGGAATGCAAAAGGTGAAGAAAACATTTGTATGTTCTTTTCTTCTAGAGAATAATTCATGAATAAGACACATGGATATTGAAAAAGAATAATAAATTGTTCCGTTTAGTAACCTCTTTAACAATTCAGTTTGTACTGGAAGTCATTTAAGGATGGAGTGCGATATTGGGTTTGTAGATTTGCAGCTAGGACAATTCAGAATAGCTGCCAGCAAGTCTGCATCTTCAGCACTCTTTTGCAAATTTACTGTTCCCATGTTCTCCAAAATGGTGCAGTCATATGTAATTGCAACTTCTAGAGGAGACAACGACAGAATTAAAATTTCGAGAATATTCCTTTCTGTATGTTCTTTTTACAGTGGAATGCAATTGTAATAAAGTTTGTTTATCAAGAATTCACTAATCATCACTCTTTACAGTATATTGGATGGCTTAATTTAATAACAGATAAGTTACATGTAACTGTTCTGCGCTCAAAAAAATTGAAAAAGGTTACAGACAGTTCTTATGATTCAGCTGGAATGAAGCTAACATCTTGTATAACAGGACACCCTTGTTGACATATCTGATGGATTCCTATCCTAGGATCAGCTTTCTAAATTAAGTTATTCTATTCACACACGGTGTATGAGTCTGCTTCGCCTATAACCCTCTGTCAAGATTTTGCATGCAATTGATGAAGTTTGATATTACTCAAGTGGTAGGGACCTACACATCATCCAGATGGGTTAGGATGTATCTCTACTGTTGTGTACTGAGTTTTATTAGTAGTTAGGTCTTCTCAAATGTAGTAAACAAAGCATTCACATTTCTAAGCTTTTATAACGTTCTTGGGAGACTGATTGTTTTTCAGTGTCAAGTCCAATGGATGTTTAATTTTTTTGAAAACTGCTATTTGAAAAGTGTAAGAGATTACATGTAGAGGAACTCAAGAGTTTTGCATATCGAAAAACAAAGATATGAGAAATTTGATTGTGTTTAAATCACTTCTTAGTATTCAGATACATACTATTTTGTATATAATTAGAATCATACTTTGGTGGTATATAATGTTAAATAATTGGATCAATGGGGATTAGACAGATGACTTGCGATTTCACTTGTTTATCTGTTCATAGAAGGAAATATGGTTGCAATAACTATGTAGAACATAAATATTCACAATGTTTGAAAAAGCTTTTTTTGAAACTCGCTTCACCACTTTGTAAAGGGTAAACGCTTCGAAACTCAAGAGTGAAGCAATTTATCCATTGAAGCTTATGCCTCATCAGTTAAAGCATAATTGAAGTGTGCGCTTCGCGCTTCATAAAGCACTTTTCTTTTGAAGCACACACTTTAGACAAAAGAGGAGGATATAAAGGGATTTTTGACTAACATTAAAACACCCCAATGTATTTTCAATATGACCATTGAGTGTAAATAAAATATATATGTTATGCATGTAGCTTAGGTTATTATGATTCGTTTCTATCCTTCACATATTTAATTCTTATTTACTAATCAGACAAAATTATTATACTGTTTTAAAAATCATCCGCCTAGTCTACCTAGGCGTATGCCTAAGGCTAGGCGGCCTAGAGCCTGGACGGTAGTTAGGCTGCCCACCTAGGTTTTAGGAGTGTTTAGAGAAGTATTGTCTGCTTACGTGGACTGCACCCTTTAGGCATTGATCGTGGTTTTTTGTGTTGCAGCCTCCATGTCCTCCAACCTTCAAACTCCTTTAATCTCCAAATATGAACACCTTCACTGCCTCCTCCGACCTTTAGCAAAATCTTCTCGACCACCACTTAAATAAAGAAAGAAATCCGCCTAGACATCAGTCTGACACCTAAGCTTTCTATAACATTGATATTTACTATCAATTGTTATAATTAAAAAAAACATCCTAGGCTCTAGGTGTCAGGTCCAACGCCTAAACCTCCTAGCGCTTTCTATAACATCATTAGTTATTATTTTGGCTATTTAGTATGTAAGTATGCATGATTTATTGTGGATCTAAGATTGCTATTTTTTTGACAATTTTTTATGAATTTAATACATATTTTTTATTAATTATTATAATTTAATAATTTTAAAAAATAGCCAAATGCCTAAACGCCGCCTAGGCGTTTAGGTGCCAGGTGCTGGCTCGAATGCCTAGTCCGCCTAGTACCTTCTGTAACATTGATTATACCACTATATAGTATATATTCATAGTGTTTACAAATTTAAAATTAGAATACTTAAAATTGTGAAGCTTACGCTTCACGCTTTGAAGCTTATGCCTCACTTCATCAAAGGGTCTAGCGCTTCGTCTTGTACTTCCACTTTTTTAAACATTAAATATTCATCTCGATTGATGGAAAGGAGAGAATAATATCTAGAAAAGATTCGAATTGAACCCAACTGTACTGTGACATGTAATTATTTGGTCATATTAAGAAATGATTATATATAGTGCTTCGGATACCTAAGAGAATGCAGGTTAGAATAAAACAATTTTAAGGTACATTTGAGATCATGGAAATAAAGTGGATGAAATTTCTGATCAAGGAGAGGTTCATGCCTTGCAAATGTGAAGTGTTTGAGAATTTGATCAATCATACGCGTCTCGAATGAGCACCGTTAGATATTTCTGCATTTCCAAGTTTTTCATCTTAGCTAATGATTATTCAAAGTTAGGAAATTTTCGCAGACATGATCTACGATAAAATATTGATATCTTTTGAAGAACATATATTTGTTAGAGGCTTCATGCTATGACTTGTTATTTTGCAGTTTGCACAGGAGCAGGAGTTTTTTCGTCAAACTGCACTTTTCTCCAAGAAGGAGAAGGAGAAGGTACACACCGATTTTGCTTTTTATTTTTATTTTCTTAAGTCTCTATTTTAAGGCTATTCTTTCGATCTTAGGAGATTGTAATAATTTTCTCTAGTTTTATGAATCTTGGAATTTATGATCACACCCACACATGATCATACCCTGCTGCAACTATTTGTTTTATTACTAAGAATTTGAAATGAATTTCATATCTTTTGAATTGCCCACAATTGGAGAAGTCCACATAAGGTAAAATTGTTTGAATTATGGAATTTATATTTTTGGCTTTCCAAATGTTCTGAACCTTAGTCCCTTTCTTGAAATTAGTAGACTGAACCTACAATAACATCGGAGCCTTATGAATACATCTAATACCTGGTCCAACAGAAATCCTTCTTTCTGTGTCAGAGAACATTTCTGTTGATTCTTGCAGCAAGTTGCCCCTGAGGCCACTGGATGCTGCTTTTCTGTTCTCTCTAAAAATCATGTCGTCGAAGCTGATGAGTGTTAACTGAGGAAGAATGGAAGTGAATTTACCTGTCAGAGAGTTGCATGATAATCCAACAACCCCCAAGCTTTCTCAACTTTCCTGAGTTTCCTCTCCTTCATGGTCTACGATGTCTTGATCGATTCCTAGAAAATGGTCGATACAGGGATTATTGGCAAAAGAGATATTGACAATTAATGAGCTGGCCCTTCTTTTGTTGTAACCCTCCCTCTTTTTGGCGTCACTATCTCAGATGGCTTGTTTGGCCACTTTATCCAAAGGAAATGCATCACGATGGCTTTGCCACATAGGCAGCCTCGTAGAGCATTTATAGGAGGCAATAAATATGTTGCGCATCATTTCCTCAACTAGACTTCAGTTTTACTAACTTCTAGTTACCATGCATTATATCATGCTTTGTGCTGTTGTATAATATATATAGCTTGTGCTGTTAATTATTTTACTTTGATTTTTTCTTCATTTGGCTCATTGAAGCCATTTTCACTTTCATCCTATGCATGACTTCTTTCTGACAGATATATGTGGTCAGGTGGAGATGATGAAAGCTGTGAGTTTTATGTATGTTCGTCCACCTGGATATAATGCAGAAAGTGCGAAGGCTGCTGAAGTTGAAGATGAAAGGAAGAACACTGATCAAGATAATGCTGCTCAAGATCCTTCATCTACTGCTCCAGTGTACTGCTTTTTTTTGTTTGTTCTTGAATTTATTGCAAAATGTTTAATTTAATCTTAATCTTTGTAACTATTGATGAACAAGCTTGCTTAACATGTACTGTTTGTTCCTTATCTTTGCTAAGCTGTAATTCATGATCCTGCAGGACTGATGCCAAACTTGATAAGAATCACTCCGAGAGAGACAAGAAAGCCAGACCGAAAGATGTTTTTGGCCGGCCTTTGCCCACAGAAGAAGAATTTGGAGTACTGAAAAATGCCCCAAGGTAACTTTGTACACTGTTATTTATGGTTTATCTGTCTTATGATTAATTCTCCATATGTCCTTATTGTTTAAATATTTTCACTGGCGATGGTGACAGCTGTAGAGCAATTATGGGTGTTGGTATATTAATTTGATAATTCTTGTACTGTATGAAGAACTAGAAACTGTAATTATGGGTGTTGGTATATTAATTTGATAAATCTTGTACTGTATGAAGAACTAGAACCTGTAAAATCAAAAATATTTTTACCGTAGAACTGCCCAGATTGTGAGATCAATGGGGGAAAAGGACGATACTGAAACCTAAATTTTCTTTTTACCCTTGCAAATTATATAACTTGCCTCTTATATTTGTATTCCTTCTTTTTCCCAATTTCTGTCAAACTGCTGGTAGCCACAATCCAGTTCCATGAGTTTTTTGTTTTTGTTTTTTTTTAATTTAATTTTTTGGGTCCATAAGTTTCAGAAAATGCCCTCTTTAGGTTTATCTATTTTACAGGTCTCTGGTCCTAGGGCTGTAACTGTTAAACAATCATCCACTGTTTTAAAAAACCTCCGCCTAGTCCGCTTAGGCGTACGCCTAGGCCTAGGCGGTACCTAGGCCGCCTAACTAGCGCCTCGGCCATATTTAGGCTACCCACTTAGATTTTACGAGCGTTTAGGGGAGCATTGTCTGCTTACGTGGATTGCACCATGTAGGCCTTGATTGTGATTTTATGTATCGTAGCCTACACGTCCTCCAAACTCCATTAACCTCCAAATATGAACACCTCCACTACCTCCTCCGACCTTCAGCAAAACCTCATCGACCACCACTTAAATGAAGAAAGAAAAAAACGCCCAGAAACCACTTAGGCGCCTGCCTAGGCGACTAAGCGCTGGGCGCCAAGTCCGACGCCTAGAAGCGCCCAATGTTTAATGTAACATTGCAATCATCATTTCTGGTTTTTAAATTTTCTTTGTTTAGTATTTAGCGGTGCAACGAGTGTATCATGTAGTTTCTCATGAAATCTTAGGCATGGAAGGAATCTAATAGATTTGACTTTAAATCGGCCAATGCCATTGATAGGTAGAGCCGTTGACAATCATGTAAAGCTTTTTAGTAGTTCAGCTCAATGCTTCTATATGCAAACTTGCATCAGCATAATGAACTGAACATCAAATGTTTTCTTATGACAATTAGCAACCGCGAGTTGTACTCTTTATATTTCTTTCAACTTTTCTACCTTAACAAATCTTCATGACATTAAACAACAAACAATGTCTTACAGAATGAGAGCAAGAAGCTGCATGAACAATAGAAACTATGTGAATCTTTGGTACTAAGATCACTGCATGCAATATTTACTTGATTGTTCTAGGTTTTTTCCTTCAAATATTTAAAGATAAGAACAAACACACAAATTTTATTAACTTGTATGTTAGCATTCCATTTGGAATCACTTCTGAACCTTCATGTCATCAGTGTTAAGACATACTAATAACTCATGAGTTTTCCACTGGAAACTGGCTTGTTTCCCCATGTCAATCGCATGAGTTACCTTTCTCATTATTAAAGCATATTTAGTTAATGTTGGCAGGTTGGAAACGGGTATGCCTGCAAGGGTAAAGCCATTTGGAATTGAAATCCGTAATGTAAGATGTGTAAGATGCGGAACTTTTGGTCACCAAAGTGGTGATCGTGAATGTCCTTTGAAAGATGTAATAATGCCGAATGAGGAGAGTCGATTGAAGAGGGATGACCCACTAACGGCTATAATAGCACAAACAGATCCCAATGAGGCAAGTATTGCATTTCCTTTCAATACTACATGTTAAGGAATATTTTGCAAGGTACCTTAGTTGAGAATAATTAGAGTTCTCATCATGTACGGGGTGCAGCTAGAGCTCCGGTGGCTACTCTTACTGAATGAGCCTCATTATATCTTTGTTGTTGCATAAAAAGATGTCTGTTGCGTGAGACAACATTATTAACAAGATTAGTTTAGGCATTTGATGTCCTCATTGTATTTTCTTGATCATCTAAAAGACTAAAAAACATGCATATGCTTCTGTAGCCTTTAAAGTGGGAACTTAAGCAGAAACCAGGGTTGAGCCCTCCCCGTGGAGGATTCCAGGCTGATGATCCCAATCAGCAGATCGTCGCAGAAGAAATATTCGATGAATATGGAGGTACACTCAATCTCCTACCTTGAGTGTATAAACTAACCAGTTCAGATACTGTGTAACTTTTCACTTGATGGCTTCACTTGTTTCATCACAGGATTTCTTAGTGGTGATATTCCTGAGCTTCTCACGAACTTCTCCGCCAAAAAGCCCAAGAAGCATTCCAAGCATAAAAGGAAGCATAAACACCACTCATCATCAGGAACTCATATTGCATCCAAGCATAGTCATGAAAACCGGTTGCTGTCATCTTCATTTTCAGAAGATGATAGAAAGAGGGCAAAGAGCAAGCATGAGACAACGAAGAGATACCAGTCAGAATCAAGGATATCTGATGGCTCTGATTCAGAGCATCACAGACATCCGCCATCTTCAGACTCTGAAGATAGCAGAGAAATAGAGAGGAGGGAAGAAAGAAAGCACAAGACAAAAAAGAGACACCGTTCAGGATTGAGGAAATATGATAGTTCTGATTCAGAGCGTTACAGAAGGCGATCATCTTCAGACTCTGACGATGATCGAGGTAGAGAGAGGAAGGCAAAGAGCAAGCACAAGACGAAGAAGAGATACCGTTCAGAATCACAGAGGTCTGATGGTTTTGATTTAGAGCATCATAGAAATCGATCATTATCTCCAGACTCTGAAGATGATAGAGAAAGAAAGAGGAGAGCAAAAAGCAAACACAAGACAAAGAAGAGGTACCATTCAGAATCAAGGAGATCTGATGGTTCTGACTCAGAGCATCAATTAAAACGATCATCATCATCTGATTCTGAAGATGGTAGATATAGGAGGAGGAGCACAAGGACCGAGCTCAAGCATATGAAGAGATACGATGACAGTTCTGATTTAGAACGCCACGGAAATCGATCTTCTTCCCAATTCGAAAGCTGATCCGAGGTCGAAAGAAAGGAGATCAAAGGACAAGCATGCAGCGAAGTGAGAACCACGATCGTCATAGCTCCGGTTTGAAACGCCACCATAGGTCGAAAAGACGATGACATTTTCATCGCATGATTTTTGTTGTTCGAACCGTATTTGTCTGTATATTATCGAGTTCTTGAACACGCCGTGTTCCCAACTGGTTTAATTGTAAACTTATTTTGCAGAATGATTGTTGAATCAGACATTTGTAGTTGCTCTTGTGTATGTTTGTACCATCAGTGGAAACCGGTTAATTGGCATGATAACCAACGGAAATGTGACATAAAGAGACTGGAAATTTCCCTGTCTAATATAGCAGCTCTTTGAAGTTTATCACCAGAATGTATCTTTTGTCCTCCTCTTCTCTCTCTCCCTTAAACCTTCAAAATGTATTGAGCGTCCATAATTTCATTCATATTCAACTTTATGAGAATTTTTTTTACAGTATTTGACGGAAATAGTAAAATCCAAAGAGTAGATTTTTTTTTTTGGTTAAAAAGTACTGCTTTCACAGTGCGCATTAATGGAAACAGAAGAAAGCGGTCTTTCGTTTGAATTTTGAACGTTTCATGCAAAATGAAAAAGTAGAGGACTCCATATGAAAAAACCTTTCCTAGCTATAAACTCCAATTAAATCCGTGTCCCCAAAAATCTTCGTTTTTATAAACGCTTCATTTTTTCCCCCTCTGGTCTGAAGACGATCGAAAAAGGAAAAGTCTCGCTCTCTGCGATGTCTAGGGTTTTTCAGGGATGCAGGGTTCTGATGGCGGCCGCCAAATCAGGTACCAAGTCGACCGCCGCCTCCTCGACGGAGAAGCCAAAGAACATCGGGCTGATGAAGCCCTTGCCGGTGTCGCCGGCGCTGAAGAAGTTCGTCGGAGCTGCTGAAGTTTCCCGCGCTGAGGCTGTCAAGAAAATCTGGGAGCACATCAAGTCCAACAACCTCCAGGTCTAACTGTCACCTTTCTAAGGTTTTAGGGCGGTTTTATTGGTGATTTGTCGGTGTTTGTTGATATCTTTGACTCTTCTTAGGGTTTAGGGTTTTGGATTGAGTGAATCACTACTGGCTCGTGTACCTTTGCACAAAATCCCCCATTGTTCATATTGATTATTATAGGTAATCCGTAGTCATTTAGCTTTCATCGTTTTCCAATTGAAAGTAAGAAAATTTTCCGGTTTTCTTGTCAATTTAAGCTTTTAGGGTTTAATTTTCTGCAAAACCAAGTTGATTTCTTACGGCTATTAGTATGTGTAATATTATAATATATGCATGCGCTATATCATTATAATAGTGATCAATACATGGCTAGCTGACTACTCCATTCTATGGTGATTTGCACATGAATTGTAAAACTTTTATTTTGTACAGTGCCTATTCTTTTATTATGTAGTTTGGTGTTCAGCTTCCAGTGTTACTGTCTGCTCCTGCGCTTGTTTGTGTGCATGTGTTTCACATGGGTGTGCATGAGGGATGTTGGGAGAGCTCATAAAGATATTGATTCATAGATGAAATGTGGATTGCATTGATGTAGTAGCAGTAAAAATTAATCACATTTATTCAAGTGTTAGTATGCTGAGGGGATAATAAGTATACAGTTATTTTAGCATTTTAAGTTTATGGTAACTTGTTTTGTTACTTTGGCACCAAGTGCGGCCGTCATAACAGCTTCTGAGACCAACTGAAACAGGGCAATACGGGAGGGTGATCTTGATTATTGTTGAACAATCACTCTAATTGACTATTGAACTAGTGAGGTTGAACTTGTTTTGCTCTATTGGATTCTCATTAATCAGTCATTGGGGTGTAAAATATTTTCTTTAGGATTCTTTGGATGTAGTATTGTAATGCATGCTGATGCTTTCTCAACTTTAAGCACGTGACTGACATCTGTATATGACTAGGTATGGTCCTATGCTATATCATAGGTTATTGAAAAAGGAGTGTGATAAAGACCCCGCGGACCTTATTGGAAGGTTATGCTGGTTCATTTTGAAAGTTGAAGCAAACTTATTTGCAGTTGTAGGTAGGCAGGTTGTCTTTTTGGAAAGATAACAATTCATTACAGAAGTCGACTTGCTAATTAGGTAGTATTATTTATGAACCTAGAGTGAAGTTTTTGTATGCACGTGATAAACATTTGAGCATCTACACACTGAGTTTCTACCTAAGATTGGCTACTAAGTAATGGGCAACTAAGTTGATGATGTTTTATCCAGTTTAGAGACTTTGCTTCTTTTTGATGCACGTGTGAGCATTTTTAGAAGTTCCATGATAGTAATCGTTGATTTATGTTTTTTCTTGTTCTTCTTCCTTTTAAATGAATGTGGCCATAATTCAATGTATTTGCAATTGCAGAATCCAGCAAACAAGAGGGAAATTCGCTGTGATGAGAAGCTGAAGTCTATCTTTGAGGGGAAAGACACAGTAGGGATGATGGAAATTGCACGCTTGCTTAAACCTCATTTCCTTTGAATCTAACTGACCATAAAAAACAGGAGGGTGGTGTATCTGGGGGGCTGGTTGGTGTTTTTGTTGATCAGTGTTAAGTTGTTGCAGTTCAATGTTTTACCTTTGGGAAGCAATCTTAAAGTGCAGGACCAGTTGATGCCTCTGCATCCTATTCTGTATGAAAACCTTTTTTAGCCTGTGGTTTGTGCTGATCATGCTGATGCTTCAGCATTTGGCTAATGCTATTGTTTCCCTTGATTTTTTTTTCTTGTGCCTTTGACTTGTCTGATCTTTATCTGTGGTACTGTGAAGATTTGTTAGTTCAACCCATACTACCCAACAGTGCTTACTGGAGATCAAGTGATATCAATTCCATTTGCAAAAGCCTCCTAATTATTTGGAATTTTACAGATTGATTTCAGAATAGTGCCTTAGGTCTTTGGGTTTTGTAATCTGGTCCTGCGTAAGGGATTCTTTTAGTTGGGTGATGCTTGTGTTGTTTATTTAAATACAAGGATAAATAGGTGCATCCTTTGAATTACACTTTGCTTGAAGTTGGTGGTGGAAATTTATATAGCACTTTGCTGGCAACACAAATTATACAACAAACTGAATATCTTGCGCAGTTTCCACCTGAGTTCTAACGTTGATGAATAGAGTTCATGAGGAAGCTCAATTCTTAATGGCTCTATTCTTCAGTACCATGCAGCTTCAGGTGAGAAGATGATGAACCCATTTCTCCACTACAGCAGGAGATCCATACCAAGGCCTTGCCGTATCATCTGAACCCACCGGAGAGTGGTAAACCCCTTCCAAGCTTATGTTCATCGCACCCTCCAGATGAGCTGATGCCTCAGGAACAACACCATCTCCCCATACATCTGCTTGTCCACAAACCTGCAAATTCGTTGTGAGAGTTGTCATTAACAAAGCTTTAAGATGAAGTACTTTGACACGCTGAATGTTACCCACCTGTTTGTAACCTTGGCCAACAAAGCGAGCTCGAAAGCTGGGGCTAACTGATGCTACCTTATTGTTATCATTATCTGCTGCTAATTCAATGGCTCCCTGACTCTTATCGACAGGATTAGTGTCACTTGATGAAGGGTTGCCTATCAACCGTGCACCTTGAATGTACCTGCAGGTGAATCCAGGTGAGATCTCCAAGCATCACAAGGTCTAAATATGCTTGGTGATGCTCTGTGGACGTGGCAAATTACTAGACATCATATATTGTCTCATGCTTAGATTTTTCATATTTGTGACTTCGTATAGTATCGCATACGCATGTTAGTATGCAAAACTGTCAACATGGTAGTATCAAACAAACAGTTTCAGGTAGATGAAATATAAATGTCATGGAATTTCTTACAAAGGGCCCAGTATTAGAATGAGTTAATCTATACGAGAGGTATTACTACTATACATCTACATGCGACAGTCTTATTCAGTAAACACTAGAGAATTATGTATGAAGTTATATCATACGCATTAGCTAACAAAACCGATGATGACGAAAAGGAACCTACAGTTCTCAGTATTCTGTCGACTGACTGGATTACCTTCCAGCAGCGCGTACATATTTCAGCTGTGAGGTATTACCTTCCGGCGATGCATACATATTTCAGGTGAGGGTTATAGACAGCCGGTGCACAATTTTCTTCGACGTGGTATAGGAGGCCCCTTGTTTGATCGATCACTCCAGGCAAGCCTTTTGGTGGTGGCCTGACATACAACACATTTTGGTAATCAACATAACTAACATTGACATATATTGCTCCGTTGCATTCTCCATTACTTCATTTAGTTCTATCATAATTCGAGTATGGTCTGCTATCGACAAAAAATTTTGCATCATTCTGGTGCCTCGTCTAGCGCAAAATTTGAATAATGTCAGCCATTTCAATCTGACATTAAAAAAAAATCAGAGACATTCATACGTGCTATCATAGTGAAATCATACAAGTGAGGCGATCCAAGCGTCAAAAGCAGAGCGATGTGATCAGACTTCTCGAATTCCTCCATGTAAACTCGAGCGAGCCATCCTCCTGCAGAGTGCCCTATCAACGATACGTTTCCTCCTTCACAAAATTTCGCCAAAGCCATCAGCTCATTGCATATAAAATGCCACTCATGACAAATTCCTGAAATTATTTTACCTTGCTGGTTCAACTTCCTGGCCTCAGAGACAGCCTCCTCAACCCTCTCAAGGTACCAATCGAGAACAGGTCTTGGCTGGAGGGTTCCCTTCCAGTAATTAGGATCGAGGAGGCCGGCGGCATTTCTGAACCAGTCGAGGCGCGAGACTGAGGCGACGACGGTGGGGATGCCGTAGCCTTCATTCAGTGTGGATGTCAGGGCTCTGTAGTCCCCCGTGTTGTTACCGAGACCCTGATATACGACAGAACGATGACAAACACATCACCAAAAAAAGAAAAAACGATTGAGATTTGGAAGGAAAAGGAGAGAAGGGAGAGGGAGGTTAACTGGGAGGATGACGGCAGGGCGAGGGATGGGAGGGATGGAGGAGGAGGTGGCGGTGGCGGTGGTTGTGGTGGTGGAGAGGGTGGAGGGAGGTGGAGATGGGAGGAGAGACATAGTGTTGTGTTGAGTGCTCTCAAACACAAAACAAAGAGCGCAGAGAGAGAGAGAGAGATAACGGGTTCACAATAGCCAGGTGTTTGTTGCTCTCGGGCTATGAATGAATCTTTGATATTTTACAAGAGTGGTGTTAGGGGCACACCCCCTATCACACCACCAACCACACCCCCCCTCTCCCATCATTACAGTAAACCGGGTCTCACATGGGATTTTAAAATTTTTAAAATCTCATGTGAGGCCCGGTTTACTGTAGCGATGGGAGAGGGAGGTGTGGTTGGTAGTGTGTTAGGGGGTGTGCCCCTAACATTATTTATTTTACAAGGTTCCCAGTCTTTGCATATATAATAAAATTAATAAAAGGAAAAAAGAAAAGGCAGAAATTTGAGAAATTCATGTGAACGAGAAGAAACCCTTCTCCTTAACGAACCGATCAAAAAAAAAGTATTGCTCAAATTGCCAGACTAGTATTAAAAGTAAATCAGTTTTACTGTTTGGCATTAAGACCATCTCCAGCAGGAGGTGAAATTTCACCTCCTTCTCTCCTGCCACATCACTTTATTTAATTCAATAATCTTCATTTCCCTATCAACTCTACAGCAGGAGATTTTTCAGAAAGTTTTTTACTTTATTTGGGACCCACCATAAACCACATCACTTCAACATATACCCTACCATATTTATTCATTCTTTTTCCTATTTCATATATATTACTATTTTATTATTATTATTATTAATATAACTCATATATTTATAATTATAATTTATTAATAATTCAATAAATAATATATAATATTTAAATATATATTTTTAATTTAATTTTCAATAATATTTTTAAATTAACATAAAATAACACACGATTTTATTAAGCATACAGAAAACCAAACACACCCAAATTATTAAAAACAGGCCAGAAAACACACACTAAATTGGTAAATCTAATCGGAGGTTGTCCCAAACTTCTGCCAAATGTGCTCGATGAGATCCTTCTTCAGCTGAATATGTTGGGTCTTATCTCGTAGTTCCGCTCTAGTCTGATTATCTGCCTCAGATCGGTGTTGAACATGGACTTGAAACTCCGGCAACACGTCTGTTTGAACATTAAAAGAGGCGCTAGAGCTAGCATTGTTCGACGGTTCAAAGTCGATATTTTCCTAGTTTCGCGAATACGTATCTCGTTCATCCTCTACTATCATGTTATGTAAAATAATGCACGCCCTCATTATTTTTCCTAAGACATCAAGATCCCACATCAAAAAGAAAACACACAATCATAACTTCTTGAGAAGGTCTTATTTTCCAAACAGGTTCTTCCTCAACATATTATAAGCTTCTTCATCTTCATCGTCACGATCTGGTTTGTTTTTCAAGAATAACCACATCTCCATATTCTTGGAATGAGCCAGGTTATTCATAGCTGAAGCAGTACTTGATCTTTTCTCTTCAAATTTTTCATGAGCACTGACTAGCTTAGATAACTCCTCCTCAATTGCCCCCTTTGATTTTCTTGACACAGATGTTTTACTAGAGGAAGCTCTAGCTTTCTTCTTTGCCACGTCCCTACCCTCTGGACGTACAAGGGTAGGAGTTGATGATTCAACATCCTCACCACTACTCTTTCTTTTAGAGTCACTACTACTGGATGCATTTCCTCCTGCCATATATTTGGGTTGATTACGAATCACCTTCCACTCATCCACCAAATTAAACGTCGTACCTATTTTCTCAAAGTACAACTCTCTTGCCTTGGATATGTAGTTTTCATCGGACCAATCGCTACGCTTCTCCCTACATGCAGTACTGTAGCAGCCAATGAAACTGGATATCTTTCTGTTGATGTCTTTGAAATGACTATGGCACCGAGACACAATCCTCTCCTTTCCACTTTTGGCGTTCTCATTCACGTACTGTGTAATTTTACCCCAGAAAGTTTCACCCTTTTGGTTGTTGCCCAACTCACTATCATTACTAACGTGAAAATAACCAGTTAGTAAAAGTATGTTGTCTTCGGTGGTCCAAGTTTCATAACTTGATCTCTTTGCTGATTGTTGGGTTGGAGGGAGAAAACTGTAAGGAGTATCCCTACCAACATTTTCCAAAGACATTTGGGTGGAAAATTCTGAGATATCTGTAGATCCGCTACTAAACCGGGGTGTCGCTGGCTCACTCGACTCCATGTTAGGACAATTCATATGGGAGGGAACATAGCTGCTTCCCGGAACTGGAGGATAACCGTAAGGAAGATAAGAATATTGCATGCCGAAATTTGGTTGCATCATGTACGGCATTTGAAAATTGGGCTGCATCACCGTATTTTGAGTATTTTCGGGGCGTTGTATATTTGGATGTTGTGGTTGAGGGAGGGTATTTTGAGGTTGGTTAGGAAAGTTGTAGTTGTAGGGAAAATTAGGATAGTTTTGTGAAGGATCCATGAAGAAACTAGCTTCAAATTGTAGAAAGAAGAAGAATAGGGTGCAGAAACTCAGATTTTTTTTTGGTGTCCAAATGACACAAAGTTAGTCTCTATTTATAGAGTTTGAAAAATAAAAGTTAATGGTATAAAAATTATAAATTAATTCATTGTATTTATCTCAAAAAATATCAATTAAAAATAAGGAGGAAAACAACAATGCTCACCCAATCAAATTTCGCCACGTGGTCCCTTCCCATCATGCGCGTGCGTGGGCTTGTCAGAAATGCCCGGGGTGAAATTTTCACCCCTTGGCTTTGTCAATTTGTTTCACCTGCACAAAAAACCCCTGCTGCCTTCAAATATCCGACGGAAAACCCTCTGCTGCATATGGTCTAAAAGTTATTCTGGCGTCCTTTTAGTATTAGTATTAAAAGTAGAGCACTTTACCTGTTTGATACAAAATCTCAGTCAGCAGTGAATTTTTCCTGTGAGAGCTATAGTTTACATTGGAAAAACTTCTTTCACTCCCCTAACATCTTAGAGTTATTGTATTTTACACCCTCCTCACTCATTCTCGCCGAACTCAAATTTCTTCCACCCCTTCACTAATATGGTCCTCCTTCACCCTCTCTTTCTCTCCCATCAATAGAGCCCCCTGTTCTCCTTCAACCTCTCCTAGTTCAAACTCAAACTATAGCCTAAACCCTCTTCTCTCTCATCATTTGAATTGGGGGAGGTTGAAGAAAAAGAGGGGACTTCATTTATCAGAGAAAAAGGGAGGGCGAATGAGGGTTTTATTAGGTAAAGTGGTCGAATAAATTTGAGTTTGGGAAGATTGAAGAAGAAGAATGTAAAATATAACAACTTTAACAAGTCAGGGGTGAAAGAAATTTACCCCACAAAGGCTCTGTTTGGCAAAACTAGCTGAAAGCTGTGAAATTGTAGCTAAAAGCTGATACTGTGTAGCTAGCTAATTGACTAGAGCTGTTTGGCAAAAATAGCTGTATAGCTAGCTTAAATTTGTTAAATGACTAAAAAGGACATGCAATATTATTGATATAAAATTATAATTATTAGGAGCAAAAACGGAAGAAAAAAAATTGACAGCTCCTTCCCAAAGACAAATGCTACTTGAGATAGCTTTCCAAAAGCTACTTGCAAAAGACACAATCTTCAAAATAATCTCCTCTTATTTTTGGTCACCAAACAGCTTTACTAGCTTATTGACCAAGTCAATAAGACACAATCTCTTGTTGCCAAACAGTGCCAAAAACTACTGTTCTCGTTGAAAAATTTCATCGCCGATGACATTTAATACCATATAGGTGAAAGCCGAATACTTTTAATACCAAAAGGATTCCGGAGTAACTTTTAATACCAAGCATGTAAAAATGGTCTACTTTTAATCTCCATTTGGTAATTTAGCCCTATGTAATATAGGCTTATTTACATATATATAGCTCTTAAAATTAATAAATCATCAATTTGGTGAGTAATAATTTCACTACATTATTGATAATTTTTACATTACGGTTATTAACTAGCCTATCAGAGTTGGTGATTGATTGGTTGAGTGGGGTGTATCTTTCCCAATACTGATTATTTGAAGGGTGGTTTTGCGAATACTAAGATTTGGTGGGTATTTTCATGAATAACAATGATTTAAGGAGTATATGCCCCTTAAATCATAGTAGTTGTAAAATACCCCTCGAATCTTAGTATTTGCGAAACTATCCATCAAGTCATCAATTTTGGGAGGAAATACCCTCAAAGCAATTAATCATTAACTTTATTATGCTAATTTATAATCGCAATTTAACAATTATCAACAAAATAGTCAACATCTTAGCATTAAGTTGATGATTTATTGATTTTAGGGGTATTTTTCGCACAGTTCATGATTTGAGGGGTAGGTTTACAAATGCTAAGAGTTTGGGGAATTTTTGTAATTACCCATAATTTTAAGGGTTATATATATGCAAATAACATTTTTTTTCAGTCGGCGATTTATATGAGGTATTTCCAATAATTCGGACACCTTTATTATTTCCAATTCTACATTCACCTGAAGTTGCACTCAAATTCATACCCACCCAATCCCATCCTCATGTCACCGTTCCCAAACCCTATTTCCCCCTTTCCTCTCTCCAATCTCCGCTTGGTTTCCTCAAATCAATGGCGGACTCCGACGCCGATGATCAGCTCCTCGCCGACTTCCTCGAATCCGAGATCCTCTCTGTCTCTTCTGCTGACAATGACCAAGTACCCTCTCGCGTTCTCTCTCTCTCTCTCTCTCGATAAGGGTCAGGTTTAGGGGTTTTTTCGATTTCTAATTCTGATTCAATCTCAGGATGAGAAACCACCGAAGAGGCTTAGGATCGAAGAAGGGAGCTCGAATCGTTCGAGTAGGATAGATAGTGGGAGCTTTTCGAAGATTCCTCCCGAGATTTTCCACCATATCTTCAAATTCCTCTCGTCTGAGGTATTGGATTGAGAAAAAGTTGCGGATTTTGTGATTTTTTGTGGGATTTTAGGGTTTGGTGATGAGTTTTGTTGATGTTGTTTGCAGGATCTAATCTCTTGCTCTCATGTCTGCCGGTTTATGAACTTTGCGGCCTCTGATGAGCGCCTCTGGCGACGGCTGTAAGATAAATTGCTTTTTTTTCCGTTGGAAATCTAGGGTTTCTGTTGATGCGCTTGACAAGTTGTGGAATTTGGAGTTTTTACTTTTTAAATAGATTTTTTTATAGAAGAAATTAGGGGATGTTAGTGGTCCTTTATTTTCAGAAATATTGCAATTGATTATATAATTGATGATTTTATTAAAGATCCAGAGAAAAATCTGATTTCATTATGAATTTTGATGGGATGCAGGTATTGCTTGAGGTGGGGCATGGCTTCGCCAACAGGGAAGCCACGAGAATGCGCTTGGAAGAAGCTTTATATTCAGGTGATTCACTAACTAAAAAAAAATTTACCTATATTTTTATAGCTACATCTACGTGTAGTTGGAAGAGTTACTTTGTTTAGCAACAATGAAATTCTTATTTTGGTGTAGGATTTTGATATGCCATTTTAATCTTTTATCATGGTTGAGATATGATAACAATTTCCTTAGCAAATCTTAGCGTCTTACCTATTTGTATGAACTCTTATTGTCTAGCGTAAGTTGAAATGTTGCTCGTTGGTTGCATGAGCATGGCTGAAAGGTTAAGTTGCACTTACCCACCGACTGGCTCTCATGATCGTGAGGCGCTCTCCTCATATTTGTTTTGACAATTATCTAGCGTGCATGGAGATGATATCAAGTTGTCAAACAAATATAATACTGGTTAAATTTTTTGTGGGGCTATTTTGGCTTCGTTTTTTTCGTGTAAGAAGCAAAGGTTATGTTGACGTGACTTATTGACACAATAAGTTCCAAGAAGTTGCTAGGGAGATAGCATTGACATAGCAAGAAGTGCTGTATCTATACAACTATACACATGGATGTGGATTCACCATCAAGTAGTCCACGATGTACATGCCTTTTTTGACTAACCTTGTTTGGTGAGCAAAATATTTGATCAATTGTAACAAAATATCCTCAAAGTGAGTTTTAAAGATGCCTCGACTCTGTATGAGGGAGGGACTTATTCTATTTTAAGTGCCACTATAATAAAGATAACATTTTAACTAGAATCCTATTATGTAGGACTTATTCTATTATAAGACCAGAAAATTTTGTCGACAATGTTTTAAAAAGCGAGTGCCCGCCTAGGCCTAGGTGGCTTTTATACTGTCCGCCTAGGTCTTCAAAGTATCTAGGGGAGCATTGGCCGCTTAAGCCGATTGCACCACATTAGTCTTGGTCGTGATTTCCTCCGCTATAACCTCCACTTCCTTTAACCTCCTCCATACTCTTCTAGCCTCCTTCACCAATTATGAACATCTCCACCTCCTCCAACCTTCAGCAAAATCTCATTCACCTTCACTTAAATATAGAAATAAATCTACCTGGGTGCTAGTCTGTCGCCTACCACTTTCTATAACATTGACATTTATTAATAATTATTATAGTTAAAAAATAAAAATAATAGGATAGTCATATAGGCCCCACTTAGAACTTAGACTTTCTACTTAGGCGCCAAGGCGCTTCTGCGTAGGCACCGGGTCCGACTTTTAGGCCATTTAGCGATTTTTGTAACCTTGGTTGTTGATAAAAGATTAGAACATGAACAAGAAGGAATTGAAGAGAAAACCATATGAAAATGCTTTGTGACCAACAAGTTTATTATAAAGATATGCAGTTGGCGTATGATCTTATTTAGTACATATGATGTTGTAATTAATTTTGGATTAGAAAATGGACAAAAATCATGGTTTCCATGAAAATCATGAATTTTGAAGTACACATACTTAATTTTGAAAGTGAAACGAACGAAAATTGTAAAAAATATAGGTTATAATACATGATTTTTGTATATTTTTGTTTGTTTCACTTCAATAGCAAATTTAGTTTTGCGACTTTCATGAACTTATAAGTTATAATAACCCACAATTTTTGTTCGTTATCATTCATTCGACCAAATGGAAAGTAATTATCAATACTTTCAATTTTGTGATATTGATGGGTTATAACACATGATTTTGGGAAATTTAGTTTGTTTCATCCCAATGAAAATTAATTACACTTATTTCAAAATTTACAAATTTTATGGGTTATAACTTATAATTTTTGTCAATTTTTATTTGTTTCGAGCCAATAACAATTATGTATGCATACTTCAAAGCCTATGAATCTTATGGTCTATTACCCACGAGTTTCAAAATTTGCAAATTTCAAGGGATAACCCATGATTTTTATCAATTTTTGTTTGTTTTGACCAAAATTTAGTTTCATTTAAAGAAAATCACGATTTTCATTGCCTATAACCAATGATTTTTTTAATTTTTAATTTTTTGACCTAAACTATAAATAAGTATGCTTATCTTAAAATTCATGAGTAGGCTTTAATCCACGAATTTTGATCTAATTGTAGCTAATTAGGCATACACTTCGAACTTCGCAATTTTCATAGGTACTACCCTTGATTTTTGTGTTTTTTCATTGGTTTATATCCAATGACAATAAATTATAGGTACTTAAAAAATTTATGATTTTTATGGGCTAACATACGATTTTTGATAGTTTTCGTTCGTTTTGACGCAATGACAAATTTGCATACTTCCAACTTCACAGTTTTCATTAATTAATTATAACCGACAATATTTGCTCGTTTTCGTTCGTCTCAACCTAATGGCAATTAGTCATGTGTACAAAAAAAATTCACGATTTTCATAGGTTATAATTATCGATTTTAATTTTTTTGTTAGTTTTGACCCATGGCCATTAAATCTTCTTTTATAAAAAATTGTAATTTTTATGAACGATGCACGATGTTTTTTTTTTTTTGACCCAACGACAAATAAGCATGTGTATTTTGAAATTCGTGATTTTCATGGGCTAGTCCATGATTTTTTGTCTAGTTTCTTCGTTTCGACCCAGTAGTAATTAATTTGTGAACTTCAATAGTTGAGATTTTGTGGGCTATAAATCATGATTTTTCCATTATTGTTCGTTTGACCGAATGATTATTATTATTTATTACCGAATTCACGATTTTGAAGGGTTATAACCCACGTTGTTGGTAATTTTTTCGCTTTGTCCCAATGGCAAATAATTATACATCTTTCAAAATTAGCTAGTTTCATGAAACAACCCACGATTTGTTTCAGTTTCTTTTTTGACCCAATGACACGTACGCAAACTTCAAAAATTCATGAATTTCATGGACTAGTCCATGATTTTTGTCAATTTTTGTTCGTTTCCCCAAATAGAAATTAATTTTGCAAACTTTAGTATTTATGAGTTTTGTGGGTTATCACCCATTATTTTTGTCCATTATCATTAATTTGACCAAATGACATTTAATTATGATTACTTTATTTGCAATTTTGATTGGTTATAACCCACAAATTTTGCTATTTTTGCTCGTTTCGTCCCAATGGAAAGTAATTATATGTATTTTAAAATTTGCGATTTTCATGGGTTTTAACTCACAATTTTAAATTTTATTTGTTTTGACCCAATGTTTATGTCAAAGAAAATCGTATATTTTTGAAGAACACATGTACTTGTCATTGGGTTGAAACGAACGAAAGTGAACAAAAAACGTTAGTTATAGCCCAAGAGAATTGCGAATTTTTACACAATATAGCTTAGGCAATTGCAAATTTTGAAATACATGCACTTAATTTCCACCAGGTTGAAACAAACGAAAATTGACAAATTGTGGGCTAAAAGCACATGAAAATCGCCAATTTTGGACTGCATGAATGAAAATTGACAAAAATCATTAGTTATAGCTCATGAAATTTGTGAATTTTAAAGTACACATACTTGACCGTCATTGGAGGATCTAACCAAATGAAACTTGACAAAAAATTGTGAGTTATAGTCCATGTAATCGCAAATTTTGAAGTATACTTAGTTTTCATTGGATCAAAAAGAATGAAAATGGACAAAAATCGCTGGTAGCCATCGAAAATGGTGCATGGGAGCTTCTTTTGCTAGTTAGTGTGTTAGATAACAGATGTATGCCATTTCCTCATTAAGTGGTTAATCGAGTGCAAAATACTGGTTCTACTAAGAATATGATTCGAAGTTTCTTTTATGTAATTTTTTTCATGCTGTGACCATAATTATCTGCTTTAACGCTATACTCTGTGCAGCGCGATCAAGAGGACATGATTGAATTTGTGAAGAACACCCCACCTGAGTTTAAGGAGTATTACATACAAATGCAGGAAGCAAAGAGAAGCCAGGCACCTCTGCTTTCACAGGTATACATCATCTTAATGCACTTTCTTCTTGTTGGATAAACTAATTGGTTATAGTCCAAAGCAATAACATCAATTTTGAACCTTCTCCTTTTCCTCTTTCTTTTTGGTGTATGTACATGTTTGTTCGCCCTCTTCTATGATTGGTGATAACCGTTACTTTTCAACGGATTATAATCATCTTGTCATGAAGATAAGTGATGATCGAGTTATTCTTGACAAAACAATTGGTGATCAAGTTTCTATTTGGAAAAGAAGCAGAGGCTTCACTGATGAGGTGGTGACTGGTCATGTTTGCTCTGGCCATACATGCTCTTACACACAAATTGGTGATGTTTTTCTCTGTGAGAAGACTGGTCGAGTGCATGGTAGGAACAGTGCCTTCACTATGATGTCATTGACATTAGACTTCCTCAAGTAATTCTTGTTCCCGTGTTTTTGCAGTGTGTGATGATACTTGCCGGGAATCTGTTTTGGATCAATCCAGTGGACTATTGGTTTGCACGGTATCTGGTCAATGTTTTGACAGGTGGCTTGCTCCTGAAGAGGAATCAGATACTGTGAGTAATAACAGCTCCAGTGTAAAATTCCTTTATGACTATTTTCTTGTATAGTTTCTTGATGGTTGAATGAGAGCAGTTTCCTATGTAATGTTGTAGACCTTCTTCACAGTTTAGCTCAGTCACCATTATGTCTCTTTTATGATGTTCTGGTACTTTCTTGTGCTTTGAGAATTTGGACTCATAATGAGGACTCAACATAACACTCTCATGAAATAGGTGAAATAGCATCTCTATAGGGACTATACTGAATTTAAATAAGCAACATTCTATTGTTGTGGAGTGCTGTGGGGCTGTTTGTTGTTAATATCTCCTCCTGTTATGAGCTTCTCGCTTATCTGACACCAGCTTTGTTAAATTTACAGGAGCAACAGCAAGCTGAAGGTGGTGTCACCGATGAGGTAGAGCCTTTCATGGGCTCCGGGCGAATTGGTACCATTACTATATACTATATCCTGGTATTTTGTTAGTTACTTAGCTTTGTTCAAGTATCGATCCTTACTTATTTTTGGATTAGCACGTGCGTTTCTGGTGGGCTACAACTGTGCTGATGAGAAGGAGCTTGAAGCTGCGATAAGGTTTGGTTGATCTCAAGGCTTTTGTTTTCATGGGTCTGCAGATATTAGGTGATGATGAGAAACCTGTGGAGGGTTGATCTTCAGACAAGCCATATGAGTTCCATCACTGCATTGCCCTATAATTCAAGGAGCTTGTTGTTGTGTAGTTTGGCTGAAAGAATGTAAGTGATCATGGGGGCAGGTGTCGCTGACTATACCCGTGTATTAATCACGGGCAGTGGTATCTTCTTAAGTCATTTCTTTTACGAAACTTTACTAATTAGCAAGCTTTTTGATATAAATTTGGTGTGCTGGTAGAGTTCGTTTCTGCGTTTTGCTCCTGTTTATGTGAACACGCAACCTGCACGTTATGTGAACGGAAGAGGAGAGACTGGAAATGTCAGAAAATCCGAATTTTTTTAATGGGTTGAACTCGTTGCTAAGTAAACGGGCACTTGTAGCAGAAAGCGGAATCCAAATACCGTTGCTTTTTTTAATCTATATACACAAATGGGAGTGGAAAAAAGAGTTGTTGGGTTCCTTTTGCCTTTAAAATTCGAATGTAAAAGGGAGCTATTTTTGTATCCAGATACTATGGCTTTGCCAACACGTGGTTGAAACAACTAAAATTGACTAAAAATGGAGGGTTATAGTACATGAAATTTTGAATTTTAGTTTTTACAAAATTATTTCCCAATTAATCAAGAAGACTAATCAATTGTAGCTCACAAAATCCTGAACTTTGGTCTTCTCGACATTATTTGCCGGCAAGTCAAGTCGAAAAGATTAAAATAGCCATAAATTTTGGGATATAACTCACAAAATCATTAATTTGGACCTATGCGAAATTATTTGTTGACAGGTCGAAATGACTAAAGATGACCAAAATCGTCATCTAAATCTCACGAAATCGTGAATTTTCGTCTCAGTGAAATTCTTTGCTAGCAAGTTGAAATGATAAAAAATGACCATAAATCATGAATTATAGCCTACGAAATTATTTTCTGCCTAGTCAAAACAATTAAAATGGCCAAAAATCTCGGGTTATAGCTCATGAAATCTTTAATTTTGCATCCCCAGAATTATTTGTCAGCAACCCGAAATGACTAAAAATGGGTAAAATCGTGAGTTATAAATCGTGAATTTTAGCATCAACAGAATTATTTACCAACTAGACAAAACAATTAAAATTGGCTAAAAATTGGTCAAAACAAATAAAATGGCTAAAATTTATGGGTTATAGCTCATCAAATCGTGAATTTTTCAGTCTACAAAATTATTTGCCAACTAGTCAAAACGGTTAAAATAGCTCAAAATTGTAGGTCATAGCCCATGAAATTGTGAATTTTGCCTTTTGCAAGATTATTTCCAATTGGTCGAAACAATTAAAACTGACCAAATTGTGGGATATGACTCATGAAATTGTGAATTTTGGCTTTCACAAAATAATTTTTCAATAGGTTGAAACAACTAAAAATGGTCAAAAAAATCAAGGGTTTATAACTTACGAAATCATGAACTTTAGCCACCAAAGAGTTGTTTGCCAACTGATCGAAACAACTAAATTTGGCCAAATTTTGAGGTATATAGCTCACAAATTCTTGAATTTTATCTTTTGAAAATTACTTGCCAACTAGTCAAAATGATAAAAAATGGCCAAACATCATGGGTTATAGCTCGTGAAATTATGAATTTTGGTTTTTCCAAAATTATTTGTCAACAGTTCAAAATGATTAAAAATAGTCATAAATCATGGGTTATAGCTTATAGAATATTTAATTTTGACCTCCGGGGAATTATTTGCCAACGGGACAAGTTGACTCAAAATTGTCAAAAATCATTAGCAATATCTCCAGAAATCGTGAATTTTAGCTTTCACGAAATTATATGCCAACAATCAAAACAACTAAAAATCGCCAAAAATCAAAGGTTATAGCTTATAAAATTATGAATTTTCTTCTCCCAAGAACTATTTGTCAGCATGTCGAAAGGTTTAAAAATGACCAAAAAACGTGCATTATAGCTCACGCATTGTGAAGTTTAGCATCTGCAGAATTATTTACCAACTAGTCAAAACAACTAAAATGTCCAAAAATCTTTGGTTGTGGCACACGAAATCATGAATTTTGGCCTTTACAAAATTATTAGCCAGAGTCAAAATGACTAAAAACGGTAAAAAATCGTGGACTATAGCTCACAAATAATAAAATTTGACCTTCATGGAATTCTTTGTCAGTAGGTTGAAACAACAAAAAAAGTCATAAATCATGGATTTCGTGAGTTATAAATCGTGAATTTTACCTCCAAAAATCATGAATTTTACCTCCAAAAAAGCTCATGAAATCATGAATTTTACCTCCAAAAATTATTAGTCATCGGGTTAAAATGGCTAAAAATGAAAAAAAAAATCTTGAGTAATAACCCACGAAATCTTGAATTTTGGCCAGCAAAGAATTATTTGCCAACAATTTGAAATCAATAATAATCGCCTAAAAATCATAGGTTACATCTGTTTCGGGTTCTTTTGGATTGTAATTGACACATATTACAACAAATGAAAATATAATGAAACAAAGGAAATTTTATTTTTTCCTTGGGGTTCGTTTCCTTGTGCCGGTGTAGCGTCGATCTTGTACTCTGTTGACTTGCCGACTAAGACGATGGGTCTTTTTGCTGTTGATGAAGATCGGATTGCTTAGAAGCTAACTCAGTGCTTTCTTAGCAATACTTCTCAACAGAAGAGAAAATGTATGCTTCTGCGTATATATCTTTGCGCCGCGTCTGTGTATATATCTCTTTGTGTCTCAGTGTCTGTGTGTCTCATGTGGATGATCTCCTCTCCTTTTGTAGGCTAAAAGAGAGAGTTAATGGTCCCCTTAATTGTGGATTAAGTGACCATTAAAGTATGAGTTAGCGGGGAGCGGTTATCCCCCGAAAATAGCTCTGAAAAGGCTATTTGGGCGAATTTCGCGAGCTGGGCGAAGTCCGCTGAAGACGTGGGCGAAGGTTGCTTAAGACATGGGTGACTTACTCCATGTGGGTGAAGTTCGTTAGTTGGCGAACTTTGCCTACGAGTTTGAATGTAGCTCAAAATTCGACTTTATGCTTGGCCGACTGATGACGCCATTCAGCTTGATGTGAGGCTGGTTACGGAGGTCGACTCGTGTTTGACCTGGTTGGGTCGATATGAGTTGTTTGGCGAGGTTCGCTGCAGCTTGTTGATTTTGAGCTTGACTTTGCGCCCATTCGAGGTAATTAGCCCATGTGCGTTCACTTCTTGGATCCTCAGTGAAAATATGTATTGACCGTTTACAACGTCTCATGAAATCATGAATTTTGACATCCGCAAAACTATTGGCCAATTAGTTTAGGTTATCGCTCCCGAGATAGTGAATTTTATAGTCTCCGCAAAATATTTGTCAAGTGGAAATGACTAAAAATAACCATAAAGTATAAGTCGAAACGACTAAAAATGGCTAAAAATCATAGGTTATACCTCATGAAATCATAAATTTTGGTCTCCTCAAAACTATTGACTAACCGGCTTTGGTTATAACTCCCAAAATTATGAATTTTGACCTCCATAAAACTATTTACCAACACGTCGAAATGACTAAAAATAGCCATAAAATCGTAAATCGCTTAGAAAATCGTGATTTTTAGCCTCTGCGCAATTATTTGCTAATAAGTCTAAATGACTAAAAATGCCCCAAAACCATGGGTTTTATCTCATAAAGTCGTATATTTTAGTCTCTACAGAATTATTTGCTAACAAGTCGAACGATTAAAAATGGCCAAAAAATATGGGTTATAGCTCATAAAATCGTGAATTTTAGCCTCCACAAAATTATTTGCCAACTGGTCCAAATGAGAAAAACTGTAAAATTTTGTGGGTTACTGCTCACAAAATCGTGAAGTTTGGCCTAACACGATTATTTTTCATCAAGACAAAACTATTAAAAATGGCCAAAATTGGTAGGTAGCCCACGAAATCTTCAATTGCCCTCCACGAAATTATTTGCCTATTGGTCGAAACAATTAAAAATTGCCAAAAATCATAGTTTATAACCCATTTAATTGTGAATTTTATCCTTAGCAAAATTATTTGTCAACTAGTCGAAACAATAAAAATGAATAACAATCGTGGGTTATAGCTAACAAAATTATAAATTTTAGCATAGCCGAAATTATTCGCCAACGTGTCAAAACGACTAAATATGGTCATAAATTAAGAGTTATACCTCACGGAATCATTATTTTTTATCCTCACAAAATATTTGCTAAAAGGTTGAAATGACCAAAAAAACTCAAAATTCATGGGCTATCCTTCATAAAATTATGCATTTTGACCTCCACGAAATTATTTGCCAACTGATCAAAACAACTAAAAATGGCAAAAGTCATGGATTATTAGCGCATAAAATCGTGAATTTTGAAATCTAGAAAATCCTTTGCCAATGGTTCGAATGATAAAAAATGATCAAAAATCGTGGACTATAGCTCACGAAATAGTAAATTTTAACCACCACAAAATTGTTTGACAATGGGTTAGAATAATTAAAATGATCAAATTGTAGGTTATAGCTTAAAAAATCGTCAATTTTGACGACCACAAATAATTTGACAATAGGTTCAAACGACTAAAAACGATCAAAATCGTGTGTTCTAACCCACGAAATCATAAAATTTGTTCTCAGCAAAATTATTTTCTAATAGGTTGAAATGACAAAAAGGGCCAATCATCATGAGTTATATTTTATGAAATCGTAAATTTTGACCACCATGAAATTATTTGACAATTGATCAAAACGACCAAAAATCATTATCTATATATCACGAAATTGTAAATTTTGGCCTCCGTGAAGCACCAAGTAAGTGGAAACAACTGCAAATGGCCAAAAGTCGTGGATTGTAGCTCATAAAATCATGGATTTTTCCTCCTAAAAATTATTTGATAGCAGGTCAAAAAGACTACAACTAGTCAAAATTTAGTGGTTTTAGCTCACGAAATTGTGAATTTTGACCTATATAAAAATATTTGCCTACAAGTCAAAATGACTAAAAATAGCCAAAATCATAGGTTATATATAGCTCACAAAATCATGAATTTTGACATACGCGGAATTATTTAGCAATTGATCGAAATGACTAGAAATGGCCAAAAATCATGAAGTATAGCTTATAAAATCATAAATTTTAGCCTACACAAACTTATTTGTTAACTAGTCCAAATGATTAAAAATGGAAAAAAGTCGTGGGGTACAAATCACAAAATTGTGAATTTTAACTTCTACACAATTACTTGCCAACGAGCTGCAACACCTACAAATGTCCACAAATAGTAGGTTATAGCTCACGAACTCTTCACAACTAAAGAAGACCAAAAATCGTGGATTATAGCTCGCTTAGTTGTAAATTTTGATCTTAAAATTTTATTTGTCAACTTGTCGAAATAACTATAAATAGCCAAAAATCGCGATGCATAGCTCACGAAATCACGA